CCCCAAAACCCCAAAACCCCGAGAGTACTAATCTTATCTAAAAAACAGGTAATTATTATGCATATTTATATAATTAAAGAGAGGGCATGCAATGAATTTAATATATTGTTTGTTTGTAAATTATCGTATCAATGGCAATGCAATTTAATGCTCAATCCCTCGATAAAAGAAAGGTGAGGAATATTAGGATCATCAAAAATGAGAATATCATATTTGCTAGCTAAGATTCTATTCGTAAGGATAACAACTAAATGAACAGTATATCAGAAAGTTTAAAGATAAAACCAAATGGGAAATATTGAACCATTGAGAAAACCAATGAGAATTAACAATTTGAAATTAATTCTAAAGATAATATGGCAACTAAGTTACATGAATACTTGAAGGAATCAAATGATTAAAATCAGAAAGTAGAGAGACACTAGAACCCTACAATATAAACGAACGGGTCAGCTTCGACTTAGGCGAACATTGAAATCAACAACATGGACTAATCCTAATCGATTGTAACTTAGTCCTTTTAGTTTTTGCACTAATAATAAGAGCCTTCTTCAATTTATTAATAGTCTACATTTACTCCAATACCGTATATCATAAATATAACAACTCAGAATGAAAATACAGTATCAAATTCTATTCAATAATAAAAGAGGCCAAAAATAAAACTCAAATTACCGCATAAAAAATACCTAGATACAGAACTGTCAAGACTAAATGATAGTAAAGAAGTCTATGACTAGCCAACTTTAGCTTTAGATTAAATTGAGCAGCAAATGCTGTAATAGAAGTTAATTAAAGGAAATAACATATTTAATCTGAAGCAGGTAAGTCAAACTCCAGATAACAGAAATATATCAAGTAAGCTAGAAAAGCTATTCTCTGATAAAAATAAAATTCCAAGTAGGAACGGTAAGCACGTAAAAGCTGGAATTTTTTTCAAAAGTTTAAAAGAAAGAAAGTCATCCAATGCTTCTCCTAATTTTGACCCTTAGAAATTTGACTATGATTAAATAATCAAGAATGTATTAGAATTCAATAGTCAATTTGATTAGGCTGAAGAGACTAAAGAGGAAGACCCTAAAGTTCTTATTAAATCTTTGAAAAAATATAATAAACAGTAAGCATAAATTTCTTAATTATAAAACTAATGTCTAGGCTAAAAAATCAAGTATAGATAGTAACGTAAAGTATTAATAAGATAATCTAGGACTAGGAGGAATATGAAAACAGACAGAATATCTTGTCAATGAATCCAAAGCATATACCTACTGCATAGTTTATTGTAAATACTGATGGTGAGTAGATTGATTTGCAAATTAAAAATAACGAAGTAAAGATAATTCAACTTCAGCAAGAGTATAAATAACTTAAGACTATGACATTGAAAGAGGTTACAACTGATAACAGACTGACTCTATCAAATCAAATATAAATTCTTGATATGTAAATAAGGTCGTAGACTCTTATGAAAAATCAACTTGAATCAAGCCAGAAATAGATTAATGCTTAATTGCATACAAGTAATTAATAGAAAATGAAAGAATAAGAGTCGTAGGCATTTAACATCATCCAGGAGATAGATTTTTTGAAACATTAAATTGACTAAGTCAATGAAAGTATTCTGAAGTAGAATGAACTTTCATCACGATACACAATTCAGATTCAACAAGCCAAAGAAAAATTAGAAGAATCGAATAAAAATTTGGAATCAGTAAAACTAGAATTTGAAAATCATCAAATCACCGGCTTAGAATAAAAGATTTTGGAGAACAAACTTAGAATCTAATACGGGGAAGTAACGAGTAAAAAATTGAGTCTTGGTAAAGTTTCAGAGAAGCGGTTTAAAAATCTTAAGACAGACATACATATTAAGAAGGGTGTTAAAGCAAGAATGAAACGATTGAAGGAGTAATTTTTGAAGAAGTTAGGAGAGTAACAGGAAAATATAGATATATAAAGGAAACTAATAGATTAAATGCAGACTTTGTTCTTAAGGAGGCATTCACCTTATTAATCTTAAGATATTTCACTAGTGGATTAGTCTGGTAACAGTTCCTATTCTTAGATTCATTTTTAGCGGCAATCATACTTTAAAACTTTAGATTCTAATAATAATTTGAGAATATCTAGCTTAACACCTGTCAATGAAACAGATAGTAGAGGCAATACAATAAATATATTGACTAATAGATCTAAGAATCTTCCTCCCATAGAGAGCCATCGAGCATTTGTGATAAACACTGAGCTCTCATTAATTAGACATCCTAAGTATTAAAGTAATGAGAACAGTCCGAGATAAACTTCTGATCTAAGACTTGATAGCTTTGAGCAGAGACTGAGCTATGATTTAAATCAGATGTATCAGACCACAAATGCAAAATTAAATCATTAGATACAAGGAAGTAGTGGCAGTCAAATGAAGTATAAGCTTAATCTAGATAATATTGATGTTGATATTTAGTAATAGAATAATGAGGAAGAAATGTATATATAAGAGAGTAGTAACAGTCAGGGTGAGCAATAGCAAATTCAAAACAATAAAATGTGCATAAATGCAGCTCCTTAGAACAAAAGTAGGAATTTAATGACTATATAATGAGTTAATTGTTATTGTACTCTATCGAATAATCAATGATTTAATATTAGGATTTAATGATTATTATTGTGATTTCAATATCTTTGAATTTATATCTCAATTAAAATCTTTTACAATTCTAGCTTTCTCTATTTTGGGGTTTTGGGGTTTTGGGG